TATGGCAAAGGAGATACTGAAGATACATGAGAAATGGGATCCTTTCTAGCTCTAAAATCCTATATTTTAGCTTTAAATTTATGTTTTTGTGCACAGTTCTTGTCACAATGTTGGATCCATGATCAATAAATATTGATTAATCTCCCTCTCCTCCTTACCCCCATTGCCTAGTGCAGTGCTGTGCCTGTGAAATGGGCCTCATTCAGCATTGCGGGTAGTGGGGAAAGGCTCGACTTAACAATCAGGGGGCCTGAGTTCAAATCCTAGCTCTGAGGCCAACTCGCTATGATCATGGGCATCGCTCACATTTTGGGCCTCAGCATCTTCCTGTGTCATTTTGGGGTACTGGTATTCCAAGTATGCAACTTAGAATTAGTTGTGATGCAAGAGCTTATAAACCTTGAAGCATCCATTTTATGTGATTTATCACTGTGTAATTTTACCCAATTCAGACTCTGAATCAACAGACACTTGCCCTGGCTGAACTAAACTCATTTTATTTCTTTCCTCAGTTCTGTCACTAGAGGGCAGTGTGAGCATGGAAACTTCCACCATCTTTGAGGGCTGCTGGGCACAAGTATGTTAGCTAGCAGAGACCATCATAGAATGTCAGAGCGTGAAGGCACCTCCCAGGCCATCTAGGTCAACCCATCCTTGACTAAGAATCCACTTTACAACATAAGCGATGAGTAGTCATCTAGCCTCATTGGAAGACTTCCAGGGAAGAGGAACCCACCTTCTTTAACATGTTTATTAAGATCAGGAAAGGTATTAAGAACAAACAAAATATGGATCTAATCTGAAGCCTTTTCAAAAGACAGGGAAAGCATATGCTTTGATAAGAGAGACCAGGATTGAATGTCCTCCTAAGTGGCCCAAGAAAACATCTATGAACAATAAACTCCCTAAAACACACATGCACACATGCACACACCCATAAACACAGTAATAGCTAGCATTTCTATTACGTTTTGCAAAATGCTTTATGTGTGTCATCTCATTTGATCCTTGCAACAACAAAGGTAGATAGTCTTATAATCCCCATTTTATAGATGAGGAAATTGAGAGATTAGATGACATGTAGGATCACGCAAGTGTTTGAAGCACCATTCAGATTAAGTTCTTTTTGATTTCAGGTTCAGTACTCTATCTTCTGGGTCACCTAGCTGCTTAGCTACAGTAGAAAGGGCCCTGACTCTGGCATCAGGGGTCCTGAGTTCTGATCCCATTTCTGATGCGTATTACCTATATAACCTTGGGCAAATCTCCAAGCCTCCCTAGGCCTCAGTTTCCTCATTTGAAAAATGATGGGACTGTACCATATGGCCCCAAGGTCCTTTTCAGGTTTAGATCTGTGATCCATGAACCTATGAAACTTCTTAAATGGTTAGGTTGCCTCTTCATGGGAAACTTAATAGCCAACGAAGTAGGTATGGTGAGTCCTCTAAAAAAAGTGTCTTCAGCAACACTTCAAAGCCGAAATAAAGCAGGATTGGAATAAATCAAATGTTCTTAACCTGAGGTTCATGGACAGATTTTAGGGGTCCATGAAGTTGGATAAGGAAAAAATTTACATCTTCATTTTTACTAAGCTTTAACTGAAATTTAGCATTTCCCCCAATTCTTTAAAAACATGATTCTGAGAAGGACATCCATAGGATTCACCAAACATTTTTTTCCCAATTCTTTAGAAACATGATTCTTGGTGAATGCATCTCATCTCCCTGTTTTGTATTTTGCTTGATATTGATACTAAAAAAAATCTAAAAGTGATCTCTGTGGTTGTATATATCACAGACTCATTGTATACTTAGGAGGCGCCTTGTTAGAGCACTCAAGGATGTTTTTGTTGCTGAATCAAATTTTTATTTCTAAGCAGCAAACAATGAACACAGTGGGATTTTACATTCTTAACACCTCTCAGTCAACTATATGACAGTGAAGACATCTGCTATGGAAAACAATCTACAGATGCCTTCCTATTCGCTTCTTAGAGATGGGTATATGAATCATTCTCATAATGATTTCAGAGATGAAAAAGTCACAAACGTATGGTGGATAGACATACACTTCAATACGTCAATGTTGCTATGATCTTATTAGTGTGGGTACTCTGTTCATTGAGGCAGATCAGAATCCAGGCAGACCTTCTTATGCTGTCCTTGCACAAATCCTTCATAGACAACACACCCAACATGCTTATAATAAACTATGGAGACCTTCCTTTAGATTATCGTTATTATTGTTGTTTTAGTATTTTATGGCTCTTGGTGTAATTTTCTGGCTGTCCATTTGCTATGTCCCTCTCTGTCTGTCTGTCTGTCTGTCTGTCTTTGTATGGCCAGTCTAATCTTTTTCTGGTCAAACGTGATTAATGACACTTTTTATGTTACGTCTTACATTCAAGTCATTGTTAGTATTCTTCTGTAGCCTGTATACACCCATTATGTATCTTTCCATGATTATTTGTATCACATGGAATTCTGATTCTTATGAGGTCACAAATTTCCATGATTTGTAGCCCCATAGTCACTGGGAGATTATTAGTGTTGAAAGGATGGGCTTTGGTGGCAGAGATCAGCTTGGAATTATCCCAAGTGCCATACAGTTTTCTCAATCGTGCTCCAGACTAGTCCCCTTTTCCTCTTCAGTTCTGGACCTAGGTCATTATCTATTGAAATGCCTATTCCAGCTGTATGTACCAGTGATCTAAACCAGTGATCAAATTCCCTCCTAGGCAGAGCAGGAATAATTATTATAAAACATAATTGGGAAATGTTTAACAAAATAAACAAATACAATGCAACATAGATAATGTTAATTTGTGGTTTTCTAAATCAATACACAGCCCAACAGGGATCCTTTGTTTTTGAGTTTGACATCACTGGTCTGTATCCTAGAATTATAGAATCAAAAGATCATTGATATGGAGGAAGAAAATACCTGAGAAGCCATCAGATCCAAAGAGGAGAGAGAGGTCCTGGGAAGTTAAGTCATTTGCCCAAGGTCATAGACTTAGTAAATGGAAGAGTTAGGCTAGCTCTTCCCATGATCCTTGACTCCAGATTCAGTAGGCTTAATATGCCATGACAGTTCAATAGTGAAACAATCAAATTTCAGGAGATTCGAGGCTCAGGAAAGTAGGAAACATTTATGCAGCACCTAGTATGTGCCAGGTACTGTCCTAAGCACTTTACAAGTATCTCATTTAATCCTCACGATAACTCTAGGAAGTAGGTGCTATTATTATCGCAATTTTACAGTTGAGGAAACTGAGGCAGATATTGGTTAAGTGGCTTGACTAGAATCACACAGCTAGATTTGAACTCAAGTCTTCTTCACTGCAGGTCCACACTTGATAAACAGTGCCTCTTCTCTGCCCCCAAGCCTCAGGAAAGTCTTGAGGAATTAACCCTTGAGTAAACCTGGAGTAAGCGGGCCAGCACCACCCCTTCAAAATGATCATGGAGTAGGAGGTGACAATGACTCCAACCAGGAGCCAGAGATACCAGAGATATGTATGTGCTGAGGACAAATACAACTCAGATGCATAAGCATCTATAGGAAACCTTTCCAATTTCTCTTTCATTTTAGTGCTTTCCTTCTTAGACTACTCCCAATTTATCCAGCAGAAATCTTCCTGCAGCTAGTTATTTTTATAGTCACCCCCATTAGACTGTGAGCTTGAGAGCTTGGACTGTCTTTTGCTTTTCTTTGTATGCCTAATGCTTAGCATGTGCATAGTTAGTTTATAGTTGATTAATTGAGAAAGATAGTCACCCAAGGGAAAAATAATTTTCAAGAAGCACAACCCCCTCGTACCATAAAAGAACACTGGCTAAGAACTTGAGAAAGGTCTTCCAATAATCAGGAGTTGTGTCCACTAGGGTTGAACCCACTCTCCCCAAGAAGCTTTTGTATGTAAGAGGAGAGAATTCCCCCAGTTTGGAGGGGGTGTTATGTACTAACTGTTCTTATTAGTAAATACCTTTTGTAAAAACAAATTAAGTGTGACTGGCTGATAATTGATAGGGAGCACACCAGATGGGGGCATATGAGCAATCTTATTAGAAACCTCAGCCAGTAGTGAGGGGAGAAGTAATCAATTGCCTCTTGGGATCCCACCCTGACAATGCTGGCAGAAGTCATAGAAGTAGCTCTCAATGGGGTGTAGTATACTATGTAAAGGCCAGCTATTATTACTTTAATAATAATAATAACAGTAATAAAAATGAACTATTGCTCCTGTTCACTGGCAAATAGACGTAGGATTCAAAACAAGGGTTTTCTTGGCCCCTGGAGAGATCTCTCCACTGCAACAAATTTACTTCATGTTTATCTGTGCACATTTGTTCATTCGATATCATGTAAACTATATTGCCACCATGATAGCTTAGAAAGTGTGCTGGATTTGGAGCCGGAGAAAACAGGGTCCAAATTTTGACTGTGCTCGTTATGTAACTTTGGGCAAGTTAACTTCTCTGGAATTCAGGTTCCAGATCTGTAAACTATCCAGGTCGGACTAAATCTTCTCTAAGGGTCTTTTCCAGCTCTGAATCTATGACCTGAGTTCAAAGGCTGACTTTCTACCTGGATGATATTTTTTCGGGCCTCAGTTTCCTTTTCTGTAAAATGAAAAGGTTAGAAGAGATGGCCTCTGACATTCCTTTCCCTTCTGGATCTCTAATCCAAGATTCTATCTGTGTGAACTTGAATGTCCCTGGGGCTCAGTTTTCTCATCTGGATGGTTCCTCTGGTCAGTTTCCCTTCTAGATCTAGGAGGCTCAGAGAGACGGCCTGCTGTCAGGAGGCGGGGCCTCGACCCAGGGGCGGAGCCCCAGAAAGGGGCGGGGCCTGCGCCCTCGCTCCAGCCTCGCCGAGAGTCAGGAGGCGGGGCGGCGGAACTCTGCGGGCGGAACTCTGCGGGCGGAACCACAGGGGCCGGGGCGCCGGTTTCCGGCCGGGCCTGTTTGCCGAGTGCACCGAGGCTTCCGGTGAGGGGGAGGGGACGGCGGGGGCACCATGGAGTACCTGAGGGTGCTGGGCCGGGGCTTCGCCCAGGTGAGGGGGCACGGAGGCGTCTTCGGCTACCTGCGCCAGCTCTTCAGGTGAGCGTGGGGCTGCGCCAGGGCCCGGGGCCGGAAGGGGACGGGGTCACCTTGGTCAAGGGCACGGCCGGAGGAGGAGGACCACCCCCTTCCATTGTACAGAGCGGGAAACTGAGGCCCGGGGCGGGCACAGGCTCTCAGAACTAGAGCTGGGAGGGACCTCGGAGTACGACCATCTAGTTCTCGCTCATTTTACAGCTGGGGAAACTGAGGCACAAAAGGTTTGGGGGCGGGGGGAAGAATCACAAACTCATAGACCTGGAGCTGGAAGGGACCTCGGAGGAGCTTTACAATTATTATCCCGGTGGGTGCTATTATTATCCCCATTTTTTAGATGGGGAAACTGAGGCAGGCAGAGATGAAGTGACTTGCCCAAGGTCACGCAGCTTGTAAGTGTCTGAGGCTGGATTTGAACTCAGGACTTCCTGACTCGAGGCTCTGCATTGACCACTCACTGTGTCACCTAACCGACTCTAAAGCCATAGAGGTTAAGTGACTTGGCCAAGGTCACACTAGCCAGGAGGCGTCAGAGGTGAGACTTGAACCCACGTCTTCCAGGATTCCAAGTACTTGGAATACCAAGACACCATTTTTTGGGAAAAGTCATAGGGCCATAGCGTTAGAGCTGGACGGAGCTCAGAGCCCTTCCAGACCGCCCTGTTGTTTTGGTTGACCTTCCAGAGACAGTGAGACATGCTCGAGGTCATACGGGTGGCCAGTATCCAAGCCAAGATCTGATCAGGTTTTCAAAAGTCCAGACTCATCAATAGCTCCCCTGCATCTCCTACTCTTTCAGCTGGTTACATCCCCTCCTTTTATAGATGAAGAAACTGAGGCCAGGAGAGAGTGAATGACTTGCCCAAGTAGTAAGGGCAGCTAGGTGGCTCAGTGGATAGAGTGCTGGACCTGGAGTTGGGAAGACCTGAGTTCCAGTATGGCGTCAGACATTTACTAGCAGGGTGACCCTGGGCAAGTCACTTAACCCTGTTTGCCTAAGTTTCTCCATCTGTAAAATGATCTGGAGAAGGAAATGGCAAACCACTCCGGTATCTTTGCCGGGGAAATCTCAAATAGGATCACGAAGAGTCGAATACAACCAAAAATTAGTACAACACACAAGCAGTAAGAGTACAGAATCCTAGAAATGTATTTTAAAGGGACCTCAGAAGCCTTCTTAATATAGCCCCTTCATTTATATGGGTGAGGAAAGTGAGGCCCAGAGAAAAGACTTTCTCAGGATTACACACCTTCCTCAGAAAGTGTTAGAACCAGTATTTGAACCCTGATCCTCTGATGTCCCAACATGGTGCTTATCATTTTTTTAAAAAAGAATTCTAAGGTTTTATTGTATCATACACAATATAGTAATATGGCTGACATCTTTCTAGTGCTCTCAGTTTTACAAAACACTTTCCGTATGTTGCCCTGAATATTAATTTAGGACTGGGAGTCAAGAAGACCCAGGTTCCAGGCCAGCTTTAGACATTTTTTAGTTGTGTGACCTCGGGCAAGTCATTGAATCTCTCTTAGCCTTTTGGACTTTAAAAAAATAGCATTTGTTTTATAGGATAACTTTCTGGAAGGGAGAAAGGGAGAGATACTGGGGCAAACTTTGAGGATGTAAAAAACAAAAGACATCAATACAATTTTTATTGTAAACAAATCTGTAAAATGGAGATAACAGCACCTACCTCACCATGTTGTTGGGGGAATCAAATAAGATAATGTATGTCTAGTGCTTCGCAAACCTTAAAGCCCTATAGAAATGCTAGATATTGTCATCTTTATTAATGTTATGCTATTTTGTTTGCTCATCATCACGACTTGTGAGATAGGTGTTAGTAGATAGAATGGTAGACTTGGAGTCTGATATTCTTGAATTCCAGCTATTGTGCTATAAGAAATGACGAGGGGAATGGTTTCAGAAAAACCTGGGAAGACTTATAAACAAAGTGAAGTGTGGAGAATCAGGAGATCATTATACACAGTAACAGCAATGTTGTAACAATGATCAACTGTGAAAGACTTAGTTACTGTGATCAAGACAGTGATCCCAGACAGTTCTAAAGGATGCATGATGAACCCCCAGAGAGAGAACTGATGGACTGAGTACAGATTGAAGCATACTTTTTTGTAAACATACTTTAGTTGTCTTTAGTTTTCTTTTTGCTACATGACTAATATGGAAATATATTTTGCATGACTTCACATCTATAAGTGAAATATTGCTTGCCTTCCCAATGACTAGGGACGGGGCTGGAGTGAGGAAGATAATTTGGAACTCAAAATTAAAAAAAAAAAAATTAATGTTAAAATAAAGTATAATTATTTTAAAAAAGGAAATTCTTGGATTCCAATCTCTCCTTTGATTTTTTTTTTAAAATTGTATTGATGTCTTGTTTTTTATATCCTCATACTTTACCCCAGTATCCCTCCCCCTCTCCCTCCAAGAGAGGTATCACATATAACAAATATTTTTTTAAAGACTCTCCCCCTCGCAAGAAAAAAAAGAGGAAAAAATCAGCATAACTGATCAATATATTAAAAAGTCTGAAAGCATGTGGAATGTGTAAAACTTCTGCACCTCTCACTTCGAAGGTGTGGGTTAGGGGGTGTCCTTTCAAATGTCATTTTGAGTCCTGCTTCATCTTTGTGGTTTTGCTGTCTTCACTTGATTTTTTGATGTGTCTTTTCATTTACATTTACATTTCATTGCTTTACATTTCAGTCTTCTTTTCATTTACATCGTTGCAAACATTGTGTTTCTTGTTTTCTTGGCTCTGCCTAACTCACTTTGCATCCGTTCACATAGAGTGTTTCATACTTCACATTCATCTTTCTCATAGACCAGTAATTATTACATTTATTTACTACCATTCGTTTAGCTGTTCCCCAATTGATGGGTGTCTACATTGCTTCTAGTTCTGTGCTGTCGCAGCAGATGCTGCTAAAATATTTTGGTGTCTGTGGGACACCTTATTGTTTGCCTTCTTAGAGTGTAAGCTCAGTAATGGAATCTCTGGTTCAAAGGGTATCACTTTATTTGCATAATTCTGAATTGCTTTCCAAAATGATGGGGAAACTGAAGGTCAGGAAAATTAAATGACTTGCCTGTGGTCACAGCCAGTAAGTGTCAGATGAGGGATTTGAACCTGGATCTTCCCAACTCCAAACCCGGCACAGTATTCAGAAGCTAAGCATTTTTTATTCACTTATTCATTCACCCATTCATCTATTCACATAATTCTATATTTAGGATTATTCTTCTCCAACATCAGCACAACTAATCAAGAATTAACCTTGTCCATGCAGCTAAGTACATCTTTAAAGGTTTGCATTCAGCTGAGTTGTTTGTGAGGAAAGGTGAAGTTTGCTTGAAAGTGATTTGTTTGGAATGGAATTGTCCCAAAGTTGTTTATTATTTTTTCTCTGCAAAGTGAGTTAATAGGTATGCTTTAGCACTATTATTTGAGTTAGTACCAGTGTCCTGAGAGTAACAGATTAGGTTATTTGTCTTCTAGTGGCTTCGTCTCAAGCCACAATTCTTGATGTGATTATACATAGGATCCTAGCTCTGCACCTTTATTCCCTGTGTGACCTTGGCTAAGGCTCCTCCACATCTTTCTTCTTCTCAGAATGATTGGGGGTTGAACTAGTTGGTTCATCTCCAAGGTATCTTCCAGCTCTGAATCTAATATTGCTTCTAGAGCCTCTTCTGGGCCGCCACCCTCTGCCCCGGCCCCCTCCCCCTTGTCTTATGTAGAGGGTTGGATGAGATGGCTTCTGAGTCCGAGTACTGGGCGTGAAACTGACCTCTGCTATTTACCTCGACCACACTAGTCACTTTGGGCCTCCATTTTCTTCTTTGAAAAATGTGGATTGTAGATTCGGTCCTGGATTCCAGTCTTGAAGCCTATGTGCTGTTCTGGAAAGCCCTGCCTTGGACTCAGGACTGGGATGGTCTTTGGAAACAGTGGCTGTGAAATCTGAGGACCTGGGTTCTGATGCTGGATTTCCTGCCCCTGCCACTGTGAGGAGCTCACTTTTCCTCTCCCAGCTTCGCTTACTCATTTGCACAGCGAGGGTTGGCATCCAAAGGTCTTGGACCTCCCTGTTTGGTGATGCTAAAACACTTACTGTGGAATATATCTATCAGGTCTTATATGTGTTCATCTTATCTCCCTAAAGAGTGGGAGCCACTTGAAATTAGAGATTGTGTCTTGTCTCTCTCTCCTAGTGCATAGTACTCTGCATATTTTTTACTTCACTCTAAGTAGAACGTAAGCTCCTTGAGGGCGGGGACTGTTCCTTTTGTCTTGTCTCTCCAGAGCCTGGCACACAGTCAGCACTTAATAAATATTTGATGAGTTGAATTAATGGGTTAAATTACTGAGTTCATCTGTGTAGTTACTGCCTTCACCAACACTGTTGCCAGCCCCTTTGACCTAAGTAGACTATCCCTGAAAATGGGTGTGGTAGAAATACTCACTTTAACCTGGAGCCACCGTGGTCCTCCCTCTGCAGTCGTAACTGGTTTGGTCTTTGAATCACAGAAATCAAGTCCTACCCATGCTTGGCACTTAATGTTGGCCATACCTCTGAGGTTGTTGCTCTTTGGGAGATAGGATGTTTACATAAGACACACAGAGCTATGTCATACAGTATTACCTGACTTATTAGTAACAAAGTAGAGTGCTCAGGTTGAAGTTTCAGCACCCTCATTTATTAACAGAGGAGGAAAATGAGACCCAAAGATGTATAGTAAGATGACCCCAAGGTTGCACAGGTAATAGTAATTATAGGAGTTGGCCTATTGTATGCCGGGCCCTGTGCTGAGTGCTTTACAAACTTTATCTCATTTTATTCTCCCGGCAACCCTGAGACATAGGGGCTGTTATCCCCATTTTACAGATAAGGAGACTGAGATAGACAGCTTAAGTGACTTGCCTAGGGTCACACTGCCTGGACGTTTCTGAGGCTGAATTTGAACTCAGGAGCAACACTTTGAATGGAAATCAGACAATGAGAAGGAACCAGAGTCATTAGGTGAAGGGCCTTTGAAGAGAGAAATTGGCTTAGATGTTGACTCAGGTGAAAGACTCGGCCTTCTGTCCACTCTGGTGGGCGTTAGATGACCAAGAGGTGGTGGCTCAGAAGGGGAGCTCTGGTTTTTTATTGGGTAGTTCAACATTCAACTATAGTTTAATTTTGTTCTGTTTGGTCCCTGGGGGCAGAACTAAGGAGTAGCAGGTGGAAATTGTGAAGAATTAGTCTGGATATAAGGAAAATTCCCTGGCGATTAGGGCCGTCCCAAAGTGGAATGAACTTCCTTGGGAGGTAATGTTTTTCCCCCCGCACCAGAGTCCTTCAAACAGAGAGTGGACAATCACTTGCTGGCTGTGTTAGAAAGGGGATTCCTATTTGTTTGCATCATATGGCCTGCCAGGTCCCTTCTGGCTCTAAGTGTATTTGGGCTTGTGTCCTTAAAGTGGACTCCCTCTTTTTCTGTGGAGTTTTCTCTGGTGCCTGTCATTTCAGTATATACATATAATGCTGTTGGCACAGTAGGCAGGGGCCTACCGCTCTGCAAAGTCCTGACCTTAACTATGAATATATCAGCCCTGGGAGAATATGAAAAGAGGAATAGGGAGTGGGGGAGATTGAGGACCAGAGGGGTCCAGCTGCTGGAAAATATTGCCTCTAGCCCTGTTGAGAGACACTTACAACTTTGATGCTGAGACCAAGTATAGTGAATGCTATTATCTTTCCAGTGGCCTCTTTTCTGAGGTCCAGAAGAGGTAAGTAATTGTCCCAGGTAGTTTGTGGCAGAGCTGGGTCTAACCCCAGGCCTCCTGTCTCATGGGGCAGGGCCTTTCCACTCCTTCATTTTGCCTCTTATGGCTGGCTGATCTGTTGCACCTGCTTAGCCTAATCAGCTGGTATTTCTTAGTAGCCAGAATGATTTCAGGCATGCAAAAGTTGTTGAAATTTTACATGTTTTGAATGCCGATGCTCTACTGATTCAAGTACTCACTGAAACTTCTTGTTTGAAAATGATGGAGCAAGGAATATTATGCTAAAAGAAATGGCAAGCAGGATGATTTTAAAAAAATTTGAGAAGACTTAGTGAACTGATATGAAGTGAGCAGAACCAGAAGAGCGTTGTACACAGTAACAGTAGTATTGTAGGATGAAGAACTATGAATGACTTAGCTATTCTCAGCAATACAGTGATCTAAGACAATCCCAAAGGATTGATGATGAAACATGCTATCTGCCTCCAAAGAAAGAACTAAGAATTGACTGAGTATAGACTGAAGCATGCTATTTTTCACTTTTTCTTTCATTCTTTTTCTTTTATTCAAGTCTTGTACAAAAGGACTAATAGGAAAATGTTTTACGTGATTGCACATGTATAACCTATATCTTATTAGGGAAAGGGGAGGGGAGGGAAGGAGGAAAGGATAGAATTTGGAACTCAAAACTTTAGAAAAAATGCTTACAAATTGTTTTAATATGTAATTGGGGAGAAGAAAATCTATATTAAAAAAAAAAAAGAAAACAGTGGATCAAGTTTGACTTCACTTTACACAAAGAATCACACATACCTTAAAATATTTCCTTCTTTTGGGGAATTTGCAGGGTAAATGATGTGAAGGTTGGCACATTAGTGGGAGAAGACAAATATGGAAACAAATATTATGAAGACAACAAACAGTTTTTTGGTAAGTGAAATATCTGGTAAGGAGACTTAGAAATTAGCACGATTTAAGAAGTTACAATTTAGTGCGGGCCTAGAGCTTTAAAATTTATGTCAAGTATGTATATTTCATATAAACCAAATAGTGCGTGATGAAAATATCCTCACTCATAACTGTCCTCTTAATCATCATATGTTTTATTTGTGTGACAATTTCCAGCTTATAGAGTCCTTTACATCCCATTTGGTCCTCACAATAACCCAGTAAATTAAAAGTGTTATTATCCTTATTTTACAGATGAGAAAACTGACCCCCAGGGAGTCTAAATGAGTTGCCTATAATGTAGTTTTACTGTTTATGCTAGAAGACTTTTCTGTGCCATGCTGGGAGGCTGATTGCCATTTTTAATGTCAGTTCTGTAGAAAGGTGCTATCTGAATTCGACATTGGTCAGTGGACTGCCTTCCACTCAATAGACCCAGCAAGGGGAGGGTCCTCTCTGCTCTTACTGTGAGCCTGACCAAGGGAACAGGTCTTGTCCTCTGCCTCTGGCCTTCAGAGGCCAAGGATTCTTACAAGGGGAGAATAGGGGGTAGGGCTTTGGGGCAGGCTAGGGTCAGTGAGGGCACAGGCAGCATCCAAGTGGGGCTTACTCCAGCCATGGCTGTTTTGGATATACATGGGCATGGTTTGAGTGCATGGAGTTTGGGAAGTGCTTTACAATAAAATCGGTATTTTATTCCTTAAGAACAGATCTCTTCTAAGATTATAGTAAGTATATTTCTCATTAAAAGACTTGTTTATCTTCTTGGGCATTGTAGAACTATACTTTTTACTATTCTCTGCTACTTGGATCTGTACAATATTATTGTTTCTTTCCACTCAGGTCGACATCGATGGGTTATCTATACTACTGAAATGAATGGCAAAAATACACTGTGGGATGTGGATGGAAGCATGGTGCCCCCTGAATGGTAAAGCACGGGAATATTTTGTTATGCATTATGTGTGGATGCTTATTTATTCTGCTGAAATTTTAACTGTACTGACTAAAAAAAGCAATATGGTGAAATGTAAAGAACCGTTACAACTCTGGGGACTCGTGAGTGGCCTTCAAGGATGCTGGCATAATGTGTGCACAGGACATGGAGGTGTTGTCAGGAAGTGGGAGATGGTCCTCTCCCTGCTTGTGGAGAATCACCAAGCCCAGTTCTCTGCACGCAAGTGCTTAATAAATACTTATGCACCGTGGGCATGATGCCATGCCCATGACCATGGGCAGGGTGGTGTGGAGTAGGGAGGGGGAGCTAGCAGAGTGGCCTGGGTCTTGGGCAGCAGTGACTAGGAGCCACTGCACTTCCAAAATCAATTTTGTGCTGATCAGAAAGGGAGCTTGGTTTCCCAGGGATGTTTTTCCACTTTTTGCTGTGTGCATGAATATTCTTAAATTTTATCTCTTATTTGGCTGGCTAGTGGCTAGCTTTTTTCTTATGACGTAGACATTTACAGAGCTGAAACGTTTTTGAATCTCAGATTTAGTATTTTCCTTATTTGCTTTTTGTTTTTAACAACTTCATTTTCTTACCTTATCCTTTATATTTATGGAATTTTTTTTTCAGTATTACATTGAATAAAGCTATCTTATTTTTTTCCTTGAAGCTTACACTATTTGAAGACTCATCATCCCATTCAATAGGATTCCTAATTTTGGTTGTTACTTCTGAGACCCCAGGTAGTCTGCCACGTGCATGCTGTCTCCCCTCATACCCCTAGAACCATTGATGTTTATACCCCAAAGAGGCCATTGACGGGAGGGCCCCAAAGGGATTCCTGTTCTTTTGTCAGTCTCTGTCTCTCTCTTCTGTTGATTCCTTCCTTACTGCTTACAGACACCCTTACTTCTCCTCATCTTGGCTAGGCTTCCAACTTAGCATGTCCAAAACTGAACCAGTTATCTGCACCCCTTGAGAACCCTCCCCTCTTCTGGACTTTGCCATTTTGCTTGATGGCATCAGTCAGGCTCAATACTTTAAAGACACCTTTCACTCTCACCCCCCCCCCCCCCCCCCAAGACACCCAAGTCCTCATACACAACATTCCCTCTCTGGTCTCCTTGTCTGAGCTTTGCTCTGGAAAGTCTGTGTAAAGAGCCTGTCTCTCTCTTCACCCCTGCTGCTTAAGCATCACCTCCTGCCTGAGGCCTCCCCCCTCCTTTATCTTTGCCTCTTGTGTTTACCTGCAAGTCTAGATAGAAGTAAGCTCCTTTGAGGCAGGGACTCTTTGCTTTCACTTCTGTATCTCCTGTGCCTAGCACAGTGCCTGACAATTAGTGTTGTCGATTGATTGTTTATCAGTTTCTTAAAGCCATTAATTTAAATTGTCTTTCAAGCTACAGGACGGAACACATTTAGTATGCGTCCTTTGTTAAGGGTCTGAATCAGTTATATGTGAAACCTCACAGTGTTTCATTAGCAGTTTATGTTCTTTCTTTCTTTCTTTTTTTTTTTTTTGGTTAGGCTGTGGGGTTAAGTGACTTGCCCAGGGTCACACAGCTAGTAAGTGTTATGTGTCTGAGGCCGAATTTGAACTCAGGTCCTACCGAATCCAGGGCTGGTGCTCTATCCACTGCGCCACCTAGCTGCCACAGCAGTTTATGTTCTAGATCAGGAGTTTTTAACCTGGGGTCTGTGAATTTGGGTGGGAAAAAAATGACATCTTTATTTTCACTAGTCTCTAACTGAAATTTAGCACTTCTTTCAGTTATTTAAAACGTGATTCTGAAAAGGGGTTGTCCCCCAGACTGCCAGCAGGATTCGTGTCACAAAAAAGAATTCCTAACCCATGGTCTGCATGGAACTTGACAAGATGAAAAGCAGTGAGAAGAATCAGCAGGAAGTCTGTTTTCACTGTTGAATAAACAACATAAATTAAAAGTGCATCACCACTTCACACATGTTGTTTTATTCACCTGGGTACTTCTACCTACAGAAAGCACTCTATTCCTTTATAGATAGTTTAGGAGTTTGTGTGTCCTGAACATTTCATCACATCACGGGCATGAGTCTCCGACCTTGGCTAGGGCAGACACAGAGTCTAGCCCAGGACCTGGGCATGGCAAGTCATCAAGTCCAGAAGTGAGGCTTGAGTGGCGTGGCCTTGAAGAAGCCATGGTGCCTTCTGGGCTGTCGTGAGATGTTAGAACAAAACGTTAGTGAAGTTACTAAGACAGTCGCTTTATAACTGAGCAAACTAAAGCACCGCTTTTTGTTAATTGGAGGAGGGAAAATCCCAGAAGTGCTTGGACAGAGCAAAGATCACGTGGTCTCTGGGTTTTTCCCAGTGCGGAGCTTGTCTCCATGCGGTGGCATGTCTTGTTCACTTTCAAATCATTGGCCTCTTTCCATAAACCCATAGCAGAGATGCTTTGTTTTGTTATCTTTGTGTCGTTGGCAGAATTATAGTAATTGATATTCTAGGCTAAGGAAAACTTGTATTTTAACATCAAACCTATGTAGGATGTGTAGCATCTTGCTTGCCTGCTTTTGTAACTGGCTTCATATGGCCGGGCAGCTCTTCCTATGAGAGTGATACAATATAAGGGATTGTAACATAACTCTGAGAGCACTTAGAGGTGATTGACTTTTTTATGTAAAATAGCAGTTAGGAATCTCAGAATGTTTCTTCTCCAAAATTGCCTTCTGGATACACTCTGCACAGGAGTTCTTATTCTTTGCTGTGTTAGGGACCCCTTTGGTGGTCTGGTGAAGTCCATGCAGCCCTCCTCACAATTTTGGGTGTTTCCCACATTTTTAATGGAAGGGAACGCTAAGTTTCAGTTAGAGGGTGGTGAAAATAAAGATGTTTCCCCATTCACTTTTATAGATCTCCTGAACAAAGGGTCTGGGCAACTCAGGTTAAGAACCTTTGCTCTAAAAAATATTCTAAGAAGAATATTTCATGGAGCTTATTCGTGGAGTTTTTTTTTTTCTTGTTCTATGTCTGGAACTTGGCACTAAACCCTGTTAGGTAGGTGCTCTTAAGCCGCATTTTACAGACAAGGAAACAGAGGGCACAGAGTTTAATTCTCTTGCCTAAGATTACACATCTGGCAAGCACCTGAGGCTGGACTGGATCCTAGGCTTCCTTGTCTCAGGCCCAGCATACTCACCACTAGGCCTAGCTGCTTCTCAGTAAGAACTCTGGGAATACAAAATCTGGAAGATACAGACCCCTGTGTTTAAGAAATTTACAGTGTAGATGGGGAGAGATGTAAAGCTAAATACATATGAAAAATTACATAGTAACATAAAAGGTGTATGTGATTGGAAGAGGCATGTATTTATAAGGTGGTATATAGTTAAGTGCTTAGTGATTAACCCAGACAATAGATTACATTCTTTCAAAAGAGGGGGTAGAGATCAGGGTGATCAGGTAGTTGAGAGGCTTCCTGGAGGAAGTTTGAGTTTAACTGGGTCTGGATGGATGGATGGATGGATGGATGGATGGATGGGATATCAGGAAGCAGAAAGAAGAGAGAAAGAGAAGGTCAGTTTAGGTGGTATAATACCTATACACAATATACAGGCTGTCAGCATATGTGTGTGATATTTAAAGGAATTATACCATTGGATCATAGATTTAGAACTGAAAGGGTCCCTGGTCATTTGGTCTAAACACCTCAATTTACAACTGAGGAAATAGGTCAGGTAGTGATGGGCAGGGTAGGGATTTGAACAGAAGGCTTCCCACTCCAAATTTAGCAGGTATTAAGCAGAGATCTAAAAATATTTTTCACTTTATTGGATAGGACTTCTGGAAAAGATGTGCTTTAAGTAGAATTTTGAAGCCTTGTGTGTGTGGTTTTTTTGGGGGGGGGTCACCTGCAGCTAATTTAATTTAAAACTATTATTTATTTGCTTTTGACATTCACTTAGAAGTTTCTCCCCAATCTGGCATAAATTCTGGACTGAATTTACCATGACTTTTCTCATTCTGACAATAACCTGTTGTCAACATGCCTCCAGTTGCAGATTTCCAAGAAGCAGGCACTGCTCATTCAGAAATTGTTTGAAACAGTGTGTTGCCAAGTTGGTGTCAAATAGAACGCTCTTGAATTTCTGTCCCAAAGTGTATGAATATTAAGGTTTTGTTTGGATGTCTACAAGGCATATTTTGAAGTAGATTCTCTTGTATTATAAAGTGTTACTCTTGTTAATTTATAATCCATCTCATATAAAAATAATTTGCAGCCAGCTGACAGGGTTGTCATATTTTTCCCTTCTAAATTATTTTGCTAGTTCTTAATGCAGTGTTTGTTTCGACTTCAGTTTTTTGTTTTTTTTTTAAGAATATCAGTTTGGGTTGATGCTTCCATTTTACGTGACTGAATTATTGGAAAATTCCAAACCTAGACTTTGAAGATAAGTCTGTTTGATAACTTGTGGTGAATGAGGAAATATTTTTGACCCTGCCACTCAGGAGAAATCTTTTTTCCTTTTTCACAGATTTATCAGTTACAGTACATGCTGGGCACAGTTACTCATGGAAAAATTTTAAGGCTTCTAGATAAAAACACATTTTGAACCCTTTCTGACAAAACCTTAGTGAATCATACTGTGCAGTGGAATAGAGATTGAAAAATTTTCCATATAGACAGCCTTTTTCTTCCTCTGTGCCTGGCTGCCACTAAAGTGTATGAGTGCTTTAGAAGCAATGATGGGAGGTCGGAGTTTACCCTTTTGGTGATGGTTTGAGCGGAGTGAAATTGAGTTAGAAATAAAGAGAACCTATTTGTGTCCTCAAAATAAATGACAGATTACTGGAAACACCCTTTGAAGTTGTTTTACACTCTAAGAAGCATTTTAATAGAATGTTTTTAGAACTTGCATAATATTTTCCTTTCTGGTCCTTCAGCAAGAATTCCTTCCTTTGGCTGTTGATTTATCTTTAGTTTCTGTCTTTTGGTCACACCACT